CAGTTAATGTTTAATTGTTGGATCAATCTTACATGCCTATATTTGTTTATCTGAGTAACCAATTTGAAGGTATCAATATGTAATACAACCACCATTGTTAATTTCCTGTCACCTTGTCTGAAATTCTGTACTGCTCGTATTGTTTGTGTGTTATTTTGTAAATGTCTGTGTGTCTGTCAATATGTTTTCATTCTGTTATCTTTAAAATAAATAAAAAAATAAAAACACCCAGTTCTAAGGATGTAATAGTGAAGCCAGTCTGTGCGCATGGCTGGGGTGGGATGGACCCATACTCACACTCGGATCTCTGCCTCCACTTCCGTCCCATTGTAAGAAACCATTTAAAAGCATCACTGCAGAAGAGGCCTGGCCTGGAAGTGGTCTCCTGTCAGTCATGGTGTCAGGATGGAGGACTTAGAGCTACTTGCCAAAAAGCAGGTGACAGGTGGAGAAACTGAGGCCCCGGAGATGAGAAGCTGACCAGGGCTAGCTCTGCAGTCAAGCTCAGCTTTTTCTCCCTACCCGTGAAGCCAAATCAGTGTGGCCTACAGGCTCCCCTGCCCCTGCCGCAGGAAGGAGGGATGGGCAGAGAAAAAAGGAGAGGCTCAGGGCAGAGAAGAAAGAAGGGGACAGGAAGCCACGGCCTGCGTGGGGTCCAGGAGCCCCTCGCAGGGTGGAAAGAAGCAGGGAAGTCACTGGTGAGCACCGGGGAAGGAGCCAAATATATGCAGGAGCCATTTCCTCTCTCAAGGAAGATAAACAATAGATTTATAAACAAATTTCACAAAGCTGTCCAACTACTTAAAGCACCCTGGTACAAACTCACATCCTTTGTGAGCATAAAGCTGATCGCGCAGGGATCCACAGCTATCCTGGGGAGAGGGAAGATGGGGAAGGGGCCAGGACAGGGAAATGTCCCTTCTCAATCTCTTCCCTGCTAGGTCTTGATATGGGATGGGCTGCCGTCCCTTTGCGCGCAGTTTGCTCTTCTGTGAAAAAGGAACAGAAATTCCTGCCCAATGGGGCTACTGCGGAAAGGAAACCAAGACGTGCTTTCTGGCAGTATCACAGACCAGACACCCTCCTCGACCTTCCTATGAGCGCATGGGCTAAATCGTAAAAGTAGAAACTGTGTGTGCATTCCTGAGCTGCTGCAAAGGGACAGATTCTGCAAAGACCAAAAACTCACTGGAAGCAGAGAGCTAGAGAGGAGGGCTGGCAGCGAGGCTGGCTTTGCTCGACGAGTCTGCACTGAACCCTGGAGGGTCTGAGTGTCTTAGGCAGGTTTCAAAGCCTGGGGAGACGGTCTTCCCACAAAGCGGGGGCTCCAACGGGCTCCATTCTTGGGGACCAAGAAATAAGCACACAGACAAAAGGGGACTGGAAGGAGATTTCATCTTGGGCTGGGAAAAAGTCTCTCCTAAAATTGTGCAACCATAACCTGAACTTCGCAAGGTATGCAGTCTGAATTATGCTGTGTACGTGGCCAGAAAGCTTTAGGTAGAGAATGAATTCTAAGTGATTTGGGGTCTGTCCCCCCCACCCCCATCCCCACCCCACATCCCACTCCCAGACAACTAGCAAAACTTAATGCAAATCTTTTCTGGAAAAACCAACTGCAACACACACCTCGAATGATTCTCAAGAATACAGTTCCCAGGAGAACAAGCAGCTGGCAGCAAACGAGGCAGCAAAAGCAACCAGCACCAGAACCAGACCTGCAAAGACTCCAGACTCTGCAGTCGCCGGACATGAGATTTATAAAGTCTCCAAGTAATGAATTCAGTATTTTACAGCAATAAATGTCTTGTCTTCAATCACGAGCAAGAAATGAGGGACCTGGACAGTAACCAAGCAGATCTGAAAAATAACAGAGCAGAACATCTAGAAATGACCAATAAAGGCAATGAAAAAATTCAATGGATGCCTTAAGCGGTGATGAAGATGCAGAATGAATGAGCTAACTAGAAAATAGACAAAGAAATTATTCAGAGCTTGGCACAGAGAGACAGATGAAAAAGGTAAAGCACAGGATGCAAGAGAGAGAGAGAAGAGTGAGAGGGCTGAATGTGAGGCACTCAGGCTCCAGAAGCAGGGAGAAGAGGGGCAGGAAAGAAGGCGCAGAGTTTCCCAAATTCCTGCAAGATCGGAATCTCTAGCTCCAGAAGTCCCAGAGAAACCCAAGCAGAAGTGAGACGGAAACTCAGACACACCGTGATTCTGCAGAACACCAAAGAAAACAGTCATCTTTAATGCAGCCAGAGAGAAGCGCCGGACCACAGGGACAGGCATTAGTCTGACAGCCAACTTCTCAACTCAGTGCCAGAGGGTGGAGGTCAGTGACAAAGCACCAGGACAGCCACCCTGCAGCACCAAGAGTGAAATAAAGACATTTCCTTTTTTTTTTGGAGACAGGGTCTCGCTATGCAGTTCAGGCTGGCTTTGAGCTCACTCTGTAGCTCTAGTTGGCCTCAAACTTGCAACGATCCTTCTGCCTCAGCCTCCCAAGTGCTGGGATTACAGGCATGCGCCACCATGCCCGGTTTGACATTTCCATACCAACAAAAAATAAAACCTAAACAGGAACACCCTGAGACTCTGCCATCCACAGATCCTCACTGAAGGATAAAGCTAAAGGATTTATTTCAGGTAGGAGGAAAATGACCCTTCGCTCATCAAGAGTGGTGAGAAAAATATTGCTCAGGGGGAAAAGTTAGAGTAACAGTGTATAAAATGAGGATGTCTAGTTTGTAGGGAGAAATAGGGTTGGACGATCACTCAGTTAAGCTGGGAGTAGTAAGTCAGGAAGGTAGCGATGAGGGTGAAATTGGGATGTGGTTCTTGTGCTGTTTGGCAGGAAAGGAAAGATACTGGTTCGTTTTGGACTTTAAGAAGGTCTGTGAAAGTAGGTGGGTAACCACCGACTGAACAAACTGAGTAAGAGGCATAGATTCCAAAGAAGATGGAAACAGAATGGGGAGCAGGTACCTTAATCTACAAGAAAGAGCAGAAAACATGAAAAGCATATTTGGTTGGTTTTTTTTTTTTTTTTTTGGTCTTTTTTTGAGACAGGGTCTTGCTCTGCAGTTCAAGCTGGCCTTGAACTCACTTTGTAGCCCAGGCTGGTCTCGAACTTGCATATGCTTTTTGTGCCGGGTATGGTGGCACATGCCTGTAATCCTAGCATTCGGGAGGCTGAGGCAGGAGGGTCATTGCAAGTTCGAGGTCATTGGTAGAAATAAATCCTAATTCATCCATAAGATACACAAGAAGCCTGAACACCCATACACCAAGGAGCACTGCCTTAAAATACATAAAGTAAACATCTGAGCATTGCTAGAAGCATCCGGCAAACCCAGTGGGAGACTTTAACACATTTCTCTTAAGAATCAACACACTCATCAGACGCAAGCAGAGAAGGATACACAGTACTCGCATAGATCAGCGGTTCCCAAGCTTTTTGGCAGCAGGGCCAGGTTCCGGGAAAGATGTTTCCACGAAGGGGTGGCGGGTGTTATGGTTAGAAGACTGGTCTAGAGGATGTGCAACACAGTTCCCAGGAGGCTCCGCACGCCTGCGAGAACCTCACACGCCTGACCTGACAGGAGACGGAGCTCAGGCGGTGATAAACACAGAGGACGCTTCCCTGCACCTCTTGCTACTGTGCAGTACTGGCCCCTGGCCCAGGAGTTGGGGACCCCCGTACAGACGACTTAACAGCCAAAGGAGCTAACTTCTTTCAGCGACTGTACATGGAAAACTCAAATGTGATCAAGAAAACAGTTTTCAAGCACTTATGGAACATTTAAGCAAAAAGTGTGAAGGAGATAAAATATAAAGATGGACTACAGAAAAGCCACACAGTGTACATGTGAAACATATCCAAGAAACCAACCTGCTTGTGTGTGCGTGTATGTACCGGGAATCGAACTCAGGACCTTGAGCTTGCCAGGCAGTCCCTGTGCCTCTGAGCTATAACCCTAGCCCTCTGTTTTGGTTTTTAAAAGCAGAGCCAGGTGTGGTGGTACATGTATACCATGAGTTCAAGATCCGTCTGGGGGAACTGAATAACTTAGTGAGACCTTGTCTCAAAATAAAAGCTAAAAATGGGGCTGGGGAGGCAGCTCAGTGCTAACCTGAATTCAATCCCCAGTAACATAAAAAGTAAATAGATACAAAGAGACCCAGGGGCTGGGGTGTGGCTCAGTGTTAGAGCACCTGCCTCGTGTTCACGCAACCCTGGGTTCAATCCCCAGCACTGAAAGAAAAAAAAAGCGAGCCTGAGCCTGTCCTCCTCATGCGTGGCTGTGCCTCCCGGATCCAGCACAGAGCCTAGCTCACAGGGACCCTCGATAGTCCCTGAAGAGTGACCTGAGAACGAAGAATTCTCTACGGAGACGGCACAGGGTGTGTGAGCAGGTGGCAGGGCAGACATGAAGGGACACGAGGACAAGGTGAATGGCACCAGTCCCCAGGGAGAATTCACACACAGAAGAGCAGCCTTCTCCAAAAACATCCAGGGACAGAGGCACGAGGAGGTGACAGATGGCACAGCAGGGATCAGCAGACAGGAAGTAGACTCCGTCTCCGTGTTAGGAAGGGTTTTCCAGCATGAACCTGCCTAGCACTGGTTAGCAAGGGGCCTGGCCAATCGCCCAAGACCCCAGTGTGCGGCAGGGGTCGCTTGGGCCCCATCCTGAGGGGCCTAGCTCACCAATCAGCAGTCTTTCTAACTCTGTTGTCATTCCGAGATTCTTTTATCCAAACTTCCCCAAAGAACTGACCCACGTCCCAGACGCAGGAGGTGGCGGAGGAGTCACCAGGGCCCCACCTCCCACACGCAACCTGTAGCATCTGCTTCGCCTTTCAGTGATGTACAGGTCTAAGGCCCCCTGCGCCCCAGAACACCCTGTCCTTCCAGCAGGCGCGAGGGGTCACACAAGCACACTGAGTTCATTGGGATGAGACGCCGTCGCCTCCTGCAGAGGAAGCAGGCTCACCTGGACTGGGGCAGCAGGCGGCTGAGCGGGGGGCCTGGCTCTGGGGACTTCTGTGGCCGCCGGGTCATGCTGCTGTCATGCTGCTGTCAGGTGGGAAGAGGAGACCTGTGGGGAAAAGGAGAAGGAGGGGTCACTTCCTCATCTTTTTTTGGTTTTGTGGTGCTGGGGATCAAACCCAGGGCCACATCCTTAATCCCTAGCTGTTTGTTTTTTTATTTTGAGACAAGCTCTCACTACGTAGCCCAGACTAGCTTCAAACCTGTGATCCTCTTGCCTCAGCCTCCTGAGCAGCAGGGATAATGAGTGGCATCATCAGGCCTGGTTATTACCTCATCTTTTACTCCCAGCTCGCTGTCCTCACCCCTTGCTGGACATTACCACAAAGCCTAGGGAGTTTCTGAGGCTGCCCACACACCCTCTCAGACTGAGGGGCGGACAGGCATTCATTCAGCAAACTGTCCAAAGCCTCGGAGCCCTACAATGGTGAGGAACTGAGGCCACTGAGATGAATTAAATGCAGTCCCTGCTTTCAGAAAGGGGAGCAGGGGGATGGTTTGCACGCGTTTCTCTGCAATATAATTTGCTAACTGTTATCATTTCCCAAAATTCATCCATTGTCATATATATATA